CTAGAAAAATATTATATCAGTTGCTACAGATGGCGCTCCGGCTTTGACAGGGAGCCATAGACTCCCTAGCGCACTTCAAAAACCAAATTCCAGATGTCCATGCTGTACATTGCGTTAGTCATAGACAACATTTGGTCGCTAGAAACTTAAGTGAACGACTATTTCAATCACTCCAATAAATCATCAAAGCAATCAATAAAATCCGCAACAGCTCCTTGAATGTTAAATTATTTTATCAGTTTTGTATCACCAATGACGAGGATTTTAACAGTTTGTTGTTTCGAATTGAAGTTCGTTGGCTATCAAGAGGCAATTGTCTGACTCGATTTAACAACCTGTTTAACTCTGTAATAGAGTTCTTGGAAACTAAAGATACAGAATGGCACAACAAGTTCATTACATCAAAGTATGATATAGCTTAAATGACAGACCCTGTATAACTTGATCAACGACATGAATGTCCAACTGCAAGGCAATGAACTAAATTTAATTAAAACAAAACAAACGTCGTTGCTGCTTTCGCAGCCAAACTGCTTCTACACAAAAAGAATATGGGCAGAATATGGGCAGTGAGTTTCACAATTTTTCGAATTTATCAAAATCCTGCAGTAACGACGATTTATTTGCCTACTGTCAACATTTGGAAAATCTCCATATTGACTTCACCGAACGATATCAGGGCAATTTGAACTTGGAAATACCAGACTGGGTGTTTTATCCGTTTTCCAATGTCAACACAGGCAAACTACAAAAACCGATCCTGCAATTGTACCTTGGATTATAATCAATCGTTCAACGATTCTTGATGGCATTCCCATCGTCATATTTGTGTGAACGAGGATTTAGTGCGGCAACACTACTTACTAAAAAGAGAAATCGTTTGCATGTTACCGAACGGACGACTTGCGACTGCTCTTGAGTAAATTGGAACTTGATATCAACAGACTTATTAAACAGCATCAGATTTATCCTTCACATTAGTTTTTATATAAGAAACAATAGTGTTTATTTTCAATTAAAAATACTATTAAGTTGTGTTTCAATAATCGTTTTCATTAGCAGGTGTAGCCCATAAGAGTTAACTTGAGACTTGAGCACCGTTGTGTTTTACCTACTGCGCTCAGGTTTCAAGTTAACTCTAGCGAGTAAAAGTCTCGTTTAAAATTAATGTTTAATCTCCGCTAATATAGCTTACAATAATGAAATAATTTAATTTGAAATTATAGTGGTTTCTAAAATGAGGGCTCTAAAAATAATTTATTCTCAAAGTGGGCAAGTAGACAAAATAAGTTTGGGAAGCCCTGGTCTAGACTATGGAGGTACATATTGATTTTTATCTACAGGTACAGACCTAAACGTAAATGTATGAGAATTTTTGATAAAACTGAATTAACCACAAAAATATCACTGACTCGTGAAGGATTTGAACCTCCGCCCTCCGATGATCAAGTAGGAAACCTATATCGGCGCTCTTACCTACTGAGCTAACGAGTCTACAAACGGAGCGACCTATTTACGATACGGTATTGAAGAGATGACGTCATCACCTGCCGTGACGTCGCGACCTTGTCCATGCTCCCGAACAATGACTCGTAGATTTATAAACACAAATGTCAACAAAAAGGAGCTATGGCATTGGGCGCTACTTCATAAAACGTTCTTTAGTTTGTTTTTATTACTTTGCACCAAATTGGATATTTGAATATAGGCAAGCTCTAAAATATGTTTACAAACAATAAGAATAATTTTATAATACATTGCATTACATACCTACCTTCCAAAGACAAAAATTATAAAAAAAAAACAATATTGTTCAAAGTTAAATATCTAGTTTTAGTTTTTGATACACAGGATAAACGGTCTTTGAAATTTTAAATGTTTTTCATACCTCCTCTTCAGATATTTTATCTTACCCTACTCATTAGTAAATGTTCTTTCAGCGTTTCTAAATTTCTGTATAGATTCACACAAACCATCGCCTTTGAGAAAGACCATACACTCCAATACATCGGATCTGCGTCTGCTTCTTTCTGATCTGCCATTGCTTAGAAATTATTAACACAGGCAAATTGTGAACAAACCTACGTTTGAATTGTTGAAATACTGCCGACTCTAAGGAAGAACTAAACTCTTGGTTATATTCTGTCGTAACACATCTTAGCTCATTTTTGTACTTTTTCGTCGAAAACTAAGAGGAGTTTTGCCTGATCAGTGAATACCGGCTCAAACTGAAACTGAGTCGAGGTTTGGTGATGGGAACGAAGCGAAATAAAAAAATTGCCTTTTACTACAAAAACTAGAGGAGTTTTGTTTGATGAGCGAATAGCTCCTCATATCTTAACTGAATTCGAATTTGACGAGGGGACAAAAAAGCACAGGAAAAAAGTACACAAAAATATCACTGACTCGTGAAGGATTTGAACCTCCGCCCTCCGATGATCAAGTAGGAAACCTATATCGGCGCTCTTACCTACTGAGCTAACGAGTCTACGAACGGAACGACTAATTTTGGATATAGGTTTGAAGTTATGACGTCATCCTTACAGAAGATCTTGCCTAGTCAATGACGCATCGATTTCGTAGTTTCTAAATATAATCGTTCATTCGCCGATTCCCTCGTGTATTTTATCAGATGAATGATTACTTTATCAGATTAATGATTACTTTATAACAATAAAGGAAGTAATAACTACCGTGCTTCATAAACCGGTTGCAAAGATTATCCGAAAAAAATCTTTGAGTAATAATTATGTGCAAAGACTAATTGATGAAATGGCTAATACTTTGAAATATCATTGTGCGATTACCCGAGAACAAGTCAATTCAACCATATAAATTTCTCGATTCAAGATCCTTCAATTCAAGATCCTTCAATGATTTCAGCTATTTCGTCAATTCATCTTTGCACAGAATTATTACTCAAAGGAATTTTTCGGATAATCTCTGCGGCCGGTTTATGAAGCACAGTAGTTATTACTTCTTTTATTGCTGGCAAAATTAACTCTTCTCCGATGTTATGTGGTTTGCCATTTTGAGCAATTAACAAAGAGATATTGTACGAAGCTCCAAGTCCGTCATCATCTTGCTTGGCAGCTGCCGAAAATAGTTTTGCTACACTTGGCTGAGTATTATGCGATACGTCGTTGATTAGGTAAGGTCGTCGACGTTGACGTCATAACTTCGAAGCTATATCCAAAATTAGTCGCTCCATTCGTAGACTCGTTAGCTCAGTAGGTAAGAGCGCCGATATAGGTTTCCTACTTGATCATCGGAGGGCGGAGGTTCAAATCCTTCACGAGTCAGTGATATTTTTTTGTAATTTTTGCCTGTGCTTTTTTGTCCCCTCGTCAAAATTCGAATTCAGTTAAGATTTGAGGCGCTATTCGCTCATCAAATCTGCGTATATGATCTTTCTTAGACGGTTCGATCAATGGTTTGTGTGAATCTATGCAGAAATTTAGATGCACCGAAAGCAACATTTACTAATGAGTAGGGTAAGATAAAAGATCTCAAGAGTAGGTACAAAATAATAATAATAATAATAACAACTTTTATTCAGCTTACGAGTTTTCACAATTTATGAACAAAAAACTTTTAAATTTTTTAAATCCTGTGTATCAAAAGCTAAAGCTAGATATTTAACTTAAAACAATAATGTTTTTTTATAATTTTTGTCTTTGGACGGTAGGTATGTAATACAATGTATTATAAAATTATTCTTATTGTTTGTTAACATATTTTAGAGCTTGCCTATATTCAAATATCCAATTTGGTGCAAAATAATTAAAACAAACTAAAGAACGTATTTATGAATTAGCGCTCAATGCCAAAGCTCCTTTTAGTTGATATTTTTGTTTATAAATCGACGAGTCATTGTTTGGGAGCATGGACAAGGTTGCGACGTCACAGCAGGTGATGACGTCATCTCTTCAATACCGTATCGTAAATAGGTCGCTCCGTTCGTAGACTCGTTAGCTCAGTAGGTAAGAGTGCCGATATAGGTTTCCTACTTGATCATCGGAGGGCGGAGGTTCAAATCCTTCACGAGTCAGTGATATTTTTGGTGATTACCATTTTTTTATTCAGAGCAAATGTTATTTATTAGCCGGTTGTTGTTACTTCGTTAGTAATTATAACATCAAAAAATTGATAATATAATATAATACACTTGATATGGCTTCGCTTTTGTAGCTGTCTGATATGTTCCTGTGAGATTATACCCTGTGACGAGAGCTGAGCCGACGACGAATCGTTTAACCCCTTCGAAATTGCGGACTGCATTAGTTTTATTTATCTGTACCTGTAGATAAAAATCAATATGTATTGGCATAGTTTACGCGTATATTTAAATTATCCGGTTGATTTCGTTTGATTAATATTAAGCTTAGATAAATTAATTAGGTAAAAGGAAAAACTTCTTTATTCCTATATAAATAACTAACATTAAAACTCCTTTCTTGAATACATAGTAAAATTTTCCTATTGCTGTTATTCAAGATGTTTTTAGACATGAAAACTTGGTTGATTGGCCTTTACTCATCCAGTTCTCATCACGAGCTCATTAATGACGAAGATGGGACAAATAGGGAGAATGGCCATGTGCGTATTGGTGGGTGTTGGTACTCCAAAGCACAGAGAAGTTGAGAAAAATATTTTTAGTCACCCATCATATGACTAGCCCTTACGAAAGTTACTTAACCTTCGCATTGTAGACCGAACGCATTTACGATTAAGCCATCGAGCTCCTCGTTGTAATTCATATTAAGCTAAAAGAATTAGGCTTCATGCAATAAAAATATATTGACTTGGCTACGATTATTGACTTGAAATCAACACACCCACATGATATTTTGCAAGTTTGCTATGGATTCTAAATATTGTGAGCCAGTTTACCGATACAACTTTTACATTCATTAGAGCTTAAATGCGTCATTAAACCTTAATGGATGTTTGTGCAACTGACCGTGTGTCTGATAATAATATATTAAATGTACTCTCAGGATATATACCCAAGACCCACTTCTCCGACGCTGGCATATTCGTGGATCCAAAAAAAGCGTCACACTCGAAGCTCACTAAGAAATTCAAGCCTGGTCAAACGCTACGTGCTAGAGTACTCGTGGTGGACAAGGCGAAGAACAGTCTGCTTCTGACACTGAAACCCACGTTGCTTGCTGAGGACCTGGAAATTTTAAGCAGTTATGAGCAGGCGCAGGTCGGGAAGGGGTACACCGGATTCATTAGAGTGAGTTTTGAATAAATGAATTGCACTTACAATATAGATCGAAACTTAATGCGAGATGTGTTTTGAATGAATAAATATCTTGTAACATTGTAGGTCCCCTTTTTTGTTGCTGTTTATAACAAGAGTTATGTATAATGTGTATCGATGTCGATGGCAGGTAGTGCGTGACTACATCGTGGTGTCGTTCTTCAACAACGTGTCGGCATACGTGCCGCGCCATTACGTCACTAAAGAACCGCTGGAATCGTTACAGGACGCCTTCCATCTCGGACAGATTGTGAGTAATATTACAAATCAAATCAAATCAAATCAAATCAATCTTTATTGTTGATCACAGGTTATATAAAGATATTGGATGCAAGGACTGAATAGTTACACCGTGATCTGCCTAAAAGGCATACAATATTAGTAGGTTAGTAATTGTCAACTAATCTAATCAATAACATGTTATGTCAAAAAAAATCAATTAATTCATTAAGTATTTATACATTTACAAAGTACTGTCAGCTAGATACTCGTTTACACTATAATATGCTTTAGCTACTAACAATTTACAAAGTTTTCTTTTAAAAACATTACAATTATCCAGATTACGTATTGTTTTTGGAATTTTATTAAAAATTTTTGGAGCCATACAAAATATACTTTTGTTCAACAGTGCTGTCTTAGAGGGTATTGTACACAATTTGTCTCGATGACGCAATCTCGTCTTATTTTCAAACAGTTGTTGATTCTGTTTGACAAAAATACCAACTTCGAATATATAGATTGATGGCAGGGTCATAATATTTAGTTTAATAAAATATGGCCTACAGGTATCCGTACTCTGTAAGTGACACATGCTATATATATACTTATTCCATTCGCTATATTAAAAATTTTATAAGTTATAATCATAAAGTAAACATACTTAGCTTTCATGTATAATAAAAATACAGCATTCAAGGGGCCGAAGAGACTGTGGCCATAAACCATACGTATCATAAAATGTGCATTAATATGTTTCCGCCTGATACACATTTTAATGCAAACATCATTTAACACAAGTGGGTGTTTCTTCGGAAATTGAACTTTCGCTTTGATACATCCATCATCATTCTTTAAAAGTAAGTAAATCTGATTTATATCTTTTTTTTTAAATCGGTGACATCAGTCTGCTACAATATTAAATTGTATATAGATATTAAAATTATAAAAATATCAATCAAGATTCATTATTTTTGAAGAACAATAATGGCGGATGTATCAAATCTCATTAAAATCAAATCAATTTACAAAGAAACGCCCAAGTGCTTGTTGTCAGCATGTTACATAAAAAAATCCATTATGAACATGATAAAATCTATACAAATTTATTCCAGGTCAACTGTACAATTTTGCGAGTGGATGCTGAAAATAAGAAAATGGGCGGTAGTCTCACAACAGTTCCGTTCTGGCCAGCCGTAAGTTATATTCACAATAAATTCTTTGTTAAATACAAGGGAATAGTTTAGATTTTATCTTACAAAAACATACTTGCTTTATATGCAGATTAAACGTGAGAAAATTAGGAAGCGGAAATCCAACAGTGACGATTCAGACGAGTTACCAAATAAGAAACGAAAACAATCAGATCGAGATGAGAAATCAAATGAAAGAGTAAAGAAGGAAGATACATACGAGGAAAACAATGATGTTGATGATAAAAAGAAAACTAAGAAAGATAAAAAGAAAAAGGAGTCGCATATAGATGAGGAACTTACAAGTGAACAAATAACGAAGAAAAGTATAAAATCTAAAGAAATAATTGAAGAAGATGATGAAAAAACTAACAAAAAAGAAAAGAAAACAAATAAAAAAAAGAAAAAAGGAGACAGTGATGAGATGAATAAGGTATCCGAAGAAAGTGATGCAATAGAAACAGATATACATGAAGACAGTGACCAAGTTTTGACGCCCGAAGATCTGTTCTTAATAGATTTATCGGATTGTAACGATATACACAAATGTAAAAAGAGAATAGTATCACTAACGAAAAATATTAACGCACGAATGAGGCGCATAGAAAGAATAGACGAAAAGATTCAAAAAATAGAAAACGTAGGACTAAATGCGAAAAATAAAAAATTTCATACAGCTATGCATATGGAAAAATTAGTGATAGAAGAGAGGATTAAGAAGTTACTGGAAGGATTAAAGAATGCTCAGGAGAAGTTAAATGATTTAGGTTATGATGGCGAAGATGACAGGACAAAAAGGAAAAACAGAAAGGGATCGACGAGTGACGATATAACCGAGGATAAACCTGACCATATAGAAACTAAGGCCACAAAAGAAATGAAGAGTAGATTAAAGAACAACGACAGAAAAGAAAGCGTAGCGGTTAAGGATGTAAAAGAAAGTGAGAAAAAGAAAATAAAGGTCGTGGAGAGTTTAGAGCCGGTGTTGGAAATTCCGAGTGCTAAAGATTTCTGGGCTGGTATGGAGAATCTGTTACCGAATAAAGTTCAAGAGGATGAATCTAGCAGCAGCGATGAAGAGGTAAGTTTCCACTCGCTGGCTTGTATAATAAGGATTAAAAGTTCTTTGCAGTATGATAAATATCGCTTTTTATATTTGAATGTAACCTTACGATATTTGAAATATATGTATAGAGTTAGTTTTAACTTTGTATGTTTAAAAGCCTTTTCTAAGCCACTTCAGCCCATGTACGTAGAATATAATCCGTATTTCGATGGTGTATTGAGTAAGCTGTAAATCACAGGAGAAGGAGCAACCAAAGAAGAAGCGTAAGAAGCTGACGGTTGCGGAGAAGTTGGCGAAGGCCCGGATGGAGGAGGAGCACGTGCGCGAGCTCGAGCAGCGCGCGATCGAGAGCGAGGCGCAGCCGCGGTCCAGCGAACAGTTCGAGCGCGCGCTGCTCGCCAGCCCCGACGCCAGCCAGCTGTGGATAGCGTACATGGCGTTCCATCTGCAGGTCAGCAACAACACGAACGCGCGCGAATAATAATTTGTCAAAATATTGAGACATTATGTTTGATCACTTATTAAACCTCTGAATCGTGTTGATGCTATATTTATGGAACGTGATAATACGAGGGTAACAGTCAACAGGTAGCTCGGTGGCGTAGTGCATAAGCGCCGCGGCTCGCGATCGTTGTCGTTAAGCAACTTTTGCAAGAGTCGGTCACAGGATGGGTGACCAAAAAAAATTATTATCTGGAACTACTCCGTGCTTCGGAAGGCTCTTTAAGCCGTTGGTCCCGGCTGCATTTGCAGTCGTTAATACCCTCCAACCCGCATTGGGCCATCGTGGAGGGTCATGGCCCATCCTCCTTAACCATCCATGAGGAAAGGCCTGAACCCCTGCAGGGGGGGCATAAAAGGACTGATGATGTATGATGATGTAGTCAACAGGATACCAGATTATACAAAACTATCAAAATCCTCAAATTTATTTTTAAACCTTAATGTTATGGAATTAAATATCAAAACCGATTGCGGAAATCTGTTCGAGTCTAATATGTCGCTGTGTGTATTTAATGTTTGTCGGGTAGACGATAATGTTGTTGTCCCGTTCTGTTGTTGGGCAGGCGACAGAGATAGAGAAGGCCCGCGCGGTGGGTCGGCGCGCCCTCCGCACGATATCGTTCCGCGAGGAGGACGAGAAGCTGAACGTGTGGGTAGCGCTGCTGCACTGCGAATACCGGTTCGGCACCAAGGTAACTACGCGCTGTCGTACTCTAAATTATTGAATTTTCATCAACTGTCAAAGACTTCGTGCCGCCTTTCTTGCTTTTTCTTCTCAGTACAAGGTACCTGACGTGGATTTGCGGCTGACATAAGTTATAACCGAGGGGATTTTTAGGGTAAATCTTTATGTAATAGTGGAAGTCTTCCATCTGATATGATGATAGTTTGCGACTCCACTTTCTTTATTATGTATTAGCTGTTTTTCCGCAGTTTTGCCCATGTAAATTATATATTATAATAATTATATATCCTAGATTACACTATAGTAAGATGTTATCTGTAACATCATCAGCCTTGCGACGCCCACTGCTAAGCATAGGCCTCACCCGTAGATCTCCGAGACGATCGGTCCTGCGTTACCCGTATGTGAAAATAAAATATTCGGTCCTAGTCAATGGAAACGGTCAAAAATTTCCTTTTTATAATATTAGTAAAGTCTCAAATCATGTTAGTCACACATATACTGCCTGCCTGGGCTAGCACAAAAAAAAAACTTTTGACACTTCAAAAATATAGAGTTTCAATAGGTTATACGTGACACTACTCGCCAGATGGCTATGACTGAATAAGATAATATTTCAGGAGACCCAACAGCAGACCCTAGAAGAAGCACTCCAAATGAACGAACCGTACAAGGTCCACTCCAAACTCCTGGACATACTAGTGGAGACCGGAAAGGCTCAGGAGCTCAATTCGCTGGTGGAACTCATGATTAAGAAATACCGGCGCGATCCCGCGGTCTACCCGCTGTGTGGGAGAGCTTGCTTCAAGCTGGGGCTAGTTGATAAAGCGAGAAATGTCATGCAGAAGGCCATCAGCGCTTTGGAGAAGAAGGAACGTGAGTATTGTACTACATTTGTTTTGAAACGGAGGCAGTAAAAACAAAAAAAAATACAATAACAGAAAAAAAATAAGACGCGGTGCGCATTGTAATGTGTACATAATAACCATATTAAAATAATAAAACATTATAATATTTAAAATCTGCAGACTCTTGGTCTGATCTTGTACTGTATAAAGTTCCTACATATTACATACTAGGTGCGCGCACAGTAACAGTTAATTGTGTTTGAATGAATTAGAAATTTACGAATTATTGAGTCTTAGAATAAGCGTTGTCTATTCTAATCCTGCAAGGTTGTTAGTATTTTAAATCTAACCCTGTATATTCCTCGTGAAGCATAACGATGATAATATAATCTAATATTTTTAGTTGATCTAAATATACAAGATTCAAAACAATTCATGTCATGCTGGATTGAGCCTACTTGTTTTTATAATAACACGCCATATAATTATTATTGCTAATCAATTACGGCATAGTGGCCAATTTAAATGTATTCTAAACGTTCTCTGTTTATGACTAATGCTCTGATTTGTATAAATCAAAATAGAAATCATATTTTTTTTCGGCTTTAAGCTACTTTTACGTCGCTAGTACACCGACCGAAACATCTACGAAACTATACGAATGATGACAGGGTTGTCACCTTTAAGAAACCGGGTCGGGTGGCAACCCTGAATGTCTCTAACGACATTTCGCAATTGTCTGCGAAACCTTACTGACAAGGACGCAGCTATTTAATCGAGCTAATAATAGAGCGAGACAAAGCACATACGAAACATTACCATACAACTGAAAAGATTTCGCAAATGTTTCGCATTCACATGCAATTGCGTCGGTGTACTAACGGCATAACGGTGTTCATATGTAAGTAGTGTTGTTAACGTTCCATGTGTGTGTGTGTGTGTGCCCGCAGACGTGTCCGTGCTAGTCCAGTTCGCGCTGTTGGAGCGCGAGGGCGGCGAGCGCGAGCGCGCGGAGGCGCTGTTCGAGCACGTGCTCGCGGCGTACCCGCAGCGGGTGGACGTCTGCCAGGCGTACGTGCACGTGCTGCTGAAGCACGCCGAAACCGAACACGTCCGGTATGTATATGTGTGTAGTATAGCTCGACACCACGAATTAACGTGACACCTGAGAGCGTATTATTCATTTAACATTTAGTGCACGATTGAAATGGTAAATTTAGTTAGCAAAAAAAATCTACGAAACATTAAAATTTGTAAATCGTTCGAATCTATAAATTAAATTTATGTGTTGAGTTATTTTGATGCGTGTTACTTGAAATACGATCTGTCAGACCAGACGTTGATCCTAATTTTTTGTGATAGATCCCTAGGTGACGTTGTTCTTCTTTTTACATTTTCTAGCAGATCATAAGATGGCACTCTTCTTGTCTGATTGCTATCTTTTTTAAATAAACACTTACTAGTACTTTTTCAAACAGAAGTAGAGTACCCTAGTCTGTTGTGTATCTATAAACTGTAAAAAACTATTTTAGTTTGAATTTACGGTAAGAGGCCTAATTACAAATACAAAAACTCACTACACGGCCGAAAAAACTGAACTCGGGCTGCCGGTGCATCGCATTTTGTAGTAATTTTGTACTTATATTTATCGTTTTATTGAAATAGGAAAATTATGAAATCTTTATTCCTTATGAAGTAATTATTATTTTGGTACAAATTTTGTTCACAATATCATGTAAGATAGAAGATATTTACAGTTAACTTAAAGCTATTTTCGTTTTTTTTTTTTTTGTATATAATAAGTTTCTTTACTCTATATTATTCAATGATATTTTTTAAAATTCTCGAGCCCACTATGAACTATATGACTATATAAGAGAACATAATATTTTCTAATTCGTTTGTAGCAGCTCAATCCAGTTCAAAACAGTGCTATTTTGGGTTTAATTATAAAATTAAGCATAAATTACAAAAAGCAAAGCCGCTACACACTATGCCAATAGTTATTCTTCACTATTCAGCGAATCAAAATTAATATATTTTTGATTCAGAGATCAACAACGCCACAATTGACCATTTTACGCAAAATTCATAGTCGAAGTACAGCTCTTAACGTTATTCTGTTGTCTCATGGAATAGGAATTGATCTGAATTGAAAACTAGGTCACTTATGCTAACAAAATTGCCACTGCTGTAACGGTACTGTTCAATTTTTCTTAGACAAGTTATGGAGCGGATGACGTCGCAAAAGTTACCAGCACGTAAAATGAAGACTCTATACAAGATATGGATAGAAGCAGAAGAGAAAATTGGCGATCAAGAAAAAGTGGAGGAAATAAGACAGCGTGCAATAAATTATATAGAAAAAGCCAAGTTTTAGTTGACAAATTCATCAATAAATTATTTTAAAATCTTTAAGGCTTTTATTTTCTATCTGGAGACAATAAAATATATTAAAAATAATAAAAGAACGAATTTTTGTTGTGATTTTTATTAACACTGAAAACGAATACTAAATATACTTAAACATGTAAGTCTTGTTACTTTTCATTGTAACATAGTTATTGTTTACATTTGTCATCGGCATCGGTGGGGGCGGTGGGGGTGGCATTCCATTCGTAATACTCGATACTGGCACAGAATTTTCAATCTTATGGCTAGCAGGCTCTAGTTTAAAACTAATTGGCTTACATCCGTAAATAGATACAGGTTCGCAAATGATATACCCTAATTTAGCATAGAAATTCTCTTGTCCTTTAGTAGACAAATAAACTTTCTCTAAATTTAATACATTTTTACAATAGTCCTCAGCTTTACGCATCAAGTGACTACCTAATTTCTTACCACGTAACTGTTTGCTTATAACTACTGTTTCAATGAAACAACTCTCTGGTATGGCCGGTATGGGTGTTAACTTGCAATGTCCTAAAATATCTTTTTTATCGTTGGTCAGTATTAAACTGGTGGGTAAGGTATCACATGAAGCTTGCAGGGACATCATCCTGGCTGTTTCACTTCGCGGCCACTCATCGTTTATTAGGTCGCAGCATGCTCTAAGAAATTCCGGATGATGATGAAGTAATAACACTGATAATTTATCTATTTCTTGTGATTCCATTGCTGCTGTAAAGGTAAAATTACATTAATATAATCAATAAGTCTTAAATCAGGCAGTAGAGCAGGTAACATAAAGTTACTGTTGAATGCCAATTTAGCTTATTTTTGTAGTTATCTTTAATATTTATAGTGAGTTTTGGTTCGTAAAAGTGATGTTTACAAAGTGAATGTAATTTAGTAATCACTAAGAATTATATTTACTTTGGTTGTATAGTTTAGATTCTTTTGCCTTTACCTATAAACAATGTAAAAACTGTCACATTAGCTTTTTGACAAAGAAAAGCAAAAGAAATTCCATTGGGTTTATGAATATGTTGTAAACAACTTAATAAAAAGCAAGAATTGATTAAAATTTTAAAGCACAAATAACTTACCAAACCCGCTTCACTCATTTTCGTTAGTTTCGTCGAGATTGAAACACGGTAAGTACATTTTTATAACAATAATTTTGTAGTAACTCTTGCACGCATGAAAGTCTGTCCGAAACTAACCTATTTTTATCTGTCAGTAATTCAAAACAACCGCTCACATAGCTACTTTTTGCGTAATATGTTGTTCAGAAATAATTAAGTCTTATGAGATAATACCACATTCATTGTACGGTCTATTAATTTCATTAAATTTACCTATTGTACTATTATGATATCAGGAATCTTATGTTGAACTGAACTTTCATTTCACTTGAAACAAGATAATCTAAAGAAGTTGTATTAAAATATATATAGGTAATAAGAAATATTTTCATAGCTGTAATGATATTTTATGAATCAACCTGTTAACATCTCTGCTGCAGAAGCACAGACCTTCTATGTGAATGGAAGTTATAGTAAAAGGATAGCTACTTTTAAACAATAGTTATTTTACATATAAAATTTCTTGAAATTGTCCAACACGCATAGATTGAACTTGTCTGTTGGTTTTGACTTTTGTGTTTTTAATGGTTGTTATTATTCATCTGGCAAAGATATGGTTTTTGTAAATGCTTATCAGCCAAAATATGTCCTAGATAATATGTAGGTAAAAAATGTTAGATGATTCAAAAGTATGTTTAACAAGTTGAATAATTTGAATAAAGATTATTTTAACTTTGGCTTGAAATAATACCATTTGAGTTGTTTATCTGTAATAGTACTCATATTGTCATTCTATTCTGTATTTTATTAGATATGGAGGATGATGATGTGCCAGCATTATCTGCAGAAACATTTGCTGCACTTCAAGAGTTCTATGCAGAACAGCAAAAACGGGAAGAGATAATTGGCAAGTTAGATGCTATTGGAAAATTGAAAAATGTTGTGTTTGATGAAAACTGGGTTAGACATCTCTTAAACTATTTTAATAATCAATCATGCATTTTCTACACAACTTTCCATAAAAATACAATTGATTAGTTATTATCAGAAGTCGGAATTAGGTAGAGTTATTTATGTACTTGCATCGAAATGTTGATATTAATGTGGACCTTCCCGGGATTTCTTTAATTCTTTCTTTCATTGATGTAAGTTTGGCAACGTTGTTCATGCAGTAGTTTAAATTGTGTAAAAGTAAATAACTTTTTATTTAAAAAATCACGGGATTTTTTCTGCTCTTTAAAATTAATCTCGGGATTTGAGGCATATCCACTTTATTCTTTCGCTGTATGAAATCAGTGTAAATACATGAATAACTCTACCTAATTCCGACCACTGGTTATTATACTCTACCTGGGGTGCACGTTCAGTTACTAGATACTCCGAAAATGTCTGTTTATAGAATTCAATTTTATTACAGAAAAAAAAACAATACAAAAACTTATTATACTCACCAATCCAATGTCTGTGCCATACTTATTAATAGATATTTAAGTTAAAAAAAAAGTTTTAATGTATATTAGATTTCAGTTATACTATATTTATGGATATTTGACACACATTATATTGATATAAAAATATAACACATTTTGTACATAGGTAACAACTACTGACCATCTTTAGATGTAAACCAGATCTATGAAAGCATTGGAAATTCTTTGATAGAATCCTAAAACTTACTTTTGTTCACATGACAGATGGCAATATGGATCGGATTCATGCACTGATAGCTAAATATTATATTTCAGACTACTGATAGGTTAATACCTTATTCGGTCCAGTAGTTTAGGAGACACAAATGATACTATAAGTTTTGCCACACAAACATCCTGCTATACTTTATTCAATATTTCTTTAAACCATCACCAGCAACTAAGTCAATTTTGGTACGACGAGAAGACAATAGAGGAGATGGTGAAAGTCGTAGATGCCAGTGTGGCCAGTGGCGGGCGGGTGGCGCTCATCTCCTGCCCAACACTCTTTGTGCCAGTAAAGACCAAGATTGGGGAAAGAGCTACAGGTATGATGATTTAATTTAATGACTTATTAAAATTAATCATACCATACATAATAAAGAATCATGATCAATTTTGACCCAAAACATTACTAACGCGTCTAGTGATGTGACTTATCTTAAATTGGAGCTAATTTTTTACTTATTTCATATCAGGAAATTAAATCGCAAAATAAAGGCAGGATAAAAATTATAAGACTTATAATATTTTAAATAGAATTCAGATCACTCTTCAAATGTGATTGGGACCTTAAAATAACTGTTTGCTACACTACCTCAATGCAATTTAGACCCAATGATGGTTTGCTTTGTTTTATTTCATTGAGTATGAAAAAATATTCTTTCGTCATATGGTTAAAAGTGCACATTAACAATTATGTTTATTTTTATTTCCAAATTTGCGAGTCAAACTTTAAAAAGCTTTGATTTCAATGCATTAATTTTTAAAATAACTTCACAATTATCTCGAGTTTTGATAACTGCTATAACCTCAAAACAATATTTACAAACTTCAAATGTCCCTGGCCTCCAGATGAAAAGATGCCAAGATTTTATTCTATTTTATACAATAACTAATTTAAATATCACTAATGGTGGGTAAACGTCACCTTTATAAAAAACATAACAGGTCAATCAATGTATGGAAAGTGGACATGATTCTTTGTGTACATAAAATCTATTCCATGTACGCAGTGGGAGATAAAGGTCTCCTAGGCAAGCACTTTGTTAACAAATATTTTAAGTTTTAAGTGAGCGTGTTTAGAATTTGTATAGAAATTTGGAGTTCTCGGTAATTACCGCTAGAGGCGCTGTAATAGATTCCATATTCCACACTAAAATATCGCGCCCACGATCGACGATGAACGTAACCTCAAATAAACTTACACTAAGTGCTCAGATACCTAATAAAAATTGAGCATTTGCCTAGGGTATTTGCTAGAAGTCTGGGAACTTAGATCGCGCTGGCAAATCAACTATTCTTAGTAACGTAGCGCCACCTTAAGCACTGATAAAGGATAATCTATATTGCATCATCCTTATGTAAATAAATTTGTCAACCAATAGCACCTGCTCCTGGCGAGCTTAGCTTTCTATCTTTACTCAAAAGGTTTATTGTGTCAAGTGTTTTTTAACAATACATTGCAGACATTTTAGGGTTGAAAAAAATTGTGTATATGGAGCCAATTTTTAATTATGACATAATTCATTAAAATATGATTCCTATTGTGAAAATAGGATGTATCTACAATACAGTACAGTTGTTTATTTCAGTTTCGCTCCTGGAGTTTGACACTAGGTTTGAAGTTCATGCTCCGGATTTCATTTTCTATGATTACAATTACCCTGAGAAGTTACCTCCGGACATCGGGCAGTATGACTTGGTGATAGCTGATCCACCATTCTTGTCAGAAGAGTGTATCGTTAAAACATCACAGACTATAAGGCGTTTAGCGAAAGAAAAGATTGTTGTGTGCAGTGGAGCCATAATGAAACCACACATAGAAAAATTATTAGATCTCAAACTTTGTAACTTCCAGCCACACCATAGAAACAATTTAGCTAATGAATTCTCATGTTATGCCAACTTCGACCTGGATAGTTTACTTGAAAAAGCTAAGTCTGGAAATGATAGTAGATGATAGTAAGTTAATATTTATTACTTTGAATATAAAATATTCATAACTACCAACCAATGAAAACCTCTGTTTTCTTTATTATTTGAATAAAATTCTATATTTTGGGCATTTGCCACTTATAGTTTTTGTTTTGTATGTATGCACAATAGACACATAGCATAAGAATAGTGAGATTTGTATTGTTGGGAAATTTAAATATTAATTTTAAGTCAATTGCACTATATGTAAACATTTTATTAGTTGAAATTTTGGCTTATATCGAGTGCCGTCTCTGCGTAAATTTACTCCAACTCTAAACCTTGTTTATTAACAACACTATAAGTTTAATATAACTAATGTAAAATGTGCAATAAAACAACATTCTATAAAACGCTGGCTTTATTGTTCTCATTAATAAAACTATTACCTCATAGTATCATATTATGGTTAACATATCATTAACTCTCTCGTATATTATGACAATCAGCAACTTTTAAAACATACAATATCAACAATCGGAAATATTATGGTACAACAAGACTACTCTGCCAATGAAGATGTTTAATCAAAATGAATTATTTCTTATCGACCGAGTCGAACAATGTCCAATACATATTTAAACCGATAATTTCATTCATTTACTATTTAAATATGTGAATGTAAATTGTTCAGATTGGAAGCAATTTAATCGAAACAATTGATAAATAAATGGAACACAAATATATAAAAGATATTCCTAAGAAAATTACCAACTTCATCAAAATTTCATACAATTAGTAAGGCTAGAATAAAAAGCATTGGTTTTCTGTAGTAAGCTCCAGTTCGCAAGACCTTTTCAAACTTCTTTTATATTGATGCGCGCCTGGTATATGAAATAAAAATATGACACTTCTAGACGTACCGTCTAGCGTCTTAAGGAAGTATGAATTATTTCTAACAGGATCTCGAGTGTGCACAGTTAAATTTCATGTCATATATTTATCAGATCTGAGGTTTCGAGATGTGACACATCGTCCGGCAGATAAGAACCGACCCTAAGAACCGTAAGCATTGACCTTGAATTAGGACACGCAATGGATGCGGCTACTTTTTTTTATTCTTGTCATGAATAGTCCTAACGGGATCGGTACATTTAAACTTGTTTCGGAACTTTACCTTTACATTACGACATGGCAGAGTAAATCTTTAATATCGATCCGTAATAATTAACAAAGATACATCATACATCGCATAATACATTGTATTTATAAGTGATATAATAACTCTTACAATAACAAATATTAACTCTTACAACACTTTGAAACGAAATTTACATTGAACTATTTGAACACGACTTGTTGAATTTGGTAGGTAAATCAAAGAAACCTTTCACAATGTTTTTAATAAATGAAATTTTAAACTAAAATTATTTGCAATAACTTAAGAAAAATTTGCAATTGATTGAAAGACATTAATTAATTATTTTTACCAGTGTGTACAGTCAACAACATGTCAGGTTATACAACAGTGTGATATATCTCCATTTGATTTTAAATCTTAGTGCATTGTGGATAGAGTTCAAAATCAATTGTGGAAATTGGAAAATTGTGCATAAACATTAATAGAAACACACTAATGTAATTATAATCACGGCCTGTGTGTAGAGTGTAGACGAGCGAAGTTCAATTACCTCTCAAGTAGTAATTTCTATGACAGGAATAAGCATAAAAAAATTACGTGGATGGGGGGGGGGGGGCGTATATTTAGATAAAGTTACGGAATAGTAAGTTTTATACATGTTCGAAAAGCAAAAAATGACATTGCATCTCTAAAATAGCTCAAAATTATGTTTCGGAGAAGCACCATCTAGTGGTAATAGTAGTAAAGATCACTTTTCTTATTTTCAACTTTATAAAAAATAATATATCAACCACCGCATTGCACCATGGTCTCGATACAATATTACAATTTAATTAATTGGACACTTCAAAAGGATCCACTACAATAAATTCTCGCACTTTCATCATCAATAAATATATAGTTTTTATTCATTCAATTACTTACAATTATAATCATTTGGTGTTTAAATACCTACAGTAAATTGGGTTTTATTTAGTGATATATATCTACCTATATATACATACAGTTGTGTTTGATAATTCATTTTAATAATTAATGCATATTTTTTTATTGAATTTTCTCTTTTTCAGTTTAACATCGTCATTAAGTTTGAGACATAAGTCATATTTGTACTAAATAATGATTACAGTTATTTATATTAATATACCAGATTCGAAAATTATTCTATCTAGTATATTACTCAATTACACGTGGTACGATAACTGTTACTTGTGGTGACAGATCTCTTCAAAGCAAAACAAAAACTAATGATAAAGGCACAGAGTTCAAAATCAAAAACAGATTTTTCTATTTTTTAAGAGTATTGAAATTTGATTTCTATTCCTTTACGACAAATGGTATATTCCTTTGCAGATACAGTGTCAAAAGTACCATAAAATCGTACCACTTATGTAATATTATAATAATTCGAAATTATCTATCTACAAGGCCATGTTCCTAATGGGGTCGACAAATACAGTATGTATATTTTCCCTTATAATTACGTACGTTGCGATTTGTGTTCTTGCGCTTGATTTTAATTATACACATATATTTATTGTCATTTTGGTAACACCGTTAAGGATATGTATTGAATATAATATCAGCAATCATCATCATCATCATCATCATCATCATCAGCCCATATTCGTCCACTGCTGGACATAGGCCTCCCCAATTGCACGCCATCTACTTCGATTTTCGGCTGTTCGCATCCAGCTCCTGCCAGCCATCTTGCGCAAATCATCGCTCCACCGCGCCTGAGGTCGTCCTACACTACGTTTGCCGAGACGCGGTCTCCACTCAAGAACTCGTTTACCCCAACGGTTATCGGTTCTGCGGCTAATATGGCCAGCCCACTGCCACTTCAGCTTGCTAATCCGGTGCAATATCAGCAATAAATTCTGATAATCTTGCAATCTACGCTTATGTGAGTATAAATATATATATGGTCATTATCGAATAATTTTATATCGCAAGAACACAAATAGTTGACATCGAAAACTTGAAATCTAGCTAAAGTTAATGCACGGTAGTAAACTCGCCAAGTTGATGTATAGTGTTCTCGCGATATTCTAGATCGCATGCGTGCGTGGCTTTTCAAGGGGAAAGCTCACAGAAGCGGTACCGTCGCGAGACAAAGAGGGGAATAGTAAACACTAGAAACAAAACACTCACAGCACTATGAAGAATCATGTTATCGTTTAAAAATACTAAACAAACTAATGTTTAGGAAACAAAATTTATTCTAATTGCACATCTCATTAAAAAAATACTTATAAATTAATCCCTATCCCTGTAGTGTTAGTACGGAATATTAGACGTACTCAATACATACTTTACATAAAGAGAAGCCGAAGAAACAAAATCAACGGTATTGATTCAACAGTTAGCATTTGTGCCAATAAACTGCCAGAGATAATCAACAGTGCAATAATACTTACTTAAAATAAAATAATTGGAATATCACAACCGCAGACAAATGTTAACACAAGTAATATCAGAATGTATGTCTCCTCAGATTTGCGATATAATATAATACAATATATAAACACAGGCTGATTTTTTAAATGTATAAATATAAAGGAGATGTTCATGTTGGTCTGTAACATGTACCATGACAAAAATATTTATGGGAGTCAATATTTAAATAACTCCATCGCATAATATATATTCTGTTAATTTATAGGAACTTCAGAAGAAGAAAATAAGTAAAAGATACTGACACTTACAAAAATCATTCTGTATGTATAGTTGTATTTTATCTATGTCGTTTATTGTGTAATATGATAAATATATTACAAAATCATAATAAATTATCACTTCTACTATTTAAAGAACTATTCTCATTATATCATTTGACAATAATATATTTGAATATAAATCTTACAAATAGAATAAAAGATAAATCTACTCTTGATATAGATAAAATAAATTATGTGCCTTATTTCCTTTCACATAAAGTCCATTATATTTTAAATATATTTATGTAGAGTATTTTCGAGAAAATACAGTTTAGCGTTCCAACTGTCTGTTGACGTCACTGGAACTATAAAGTCTCCCCCACAAAATAGTGATTCGTATTATACATTATATAAAATAAGCTTTATAGGCTCATGTTCCATTTGACATTAGTATCTAACAATATACTAGTTTGATCATTAGTTAACATATTCAGGTATTATTACAACATCAAAAATATTGTTTTCTTATATATTTCATTTAATTGATGTAATTGGAAATACACTGCGGTTTGTACTATGAATCGATATTAAATAAATTAAAATCACGTTTTATGGTATATTATGATTAAATCATTTTTTTTATTAATTTCAAATAATGACAAATACTTATCGAATACGCATACTGTTGTCATGTCAATTCAATAATGAAACATTATATTACGTTAAATTTATTAATATTGATATATATTATGCACCTCTCCCGGTCTACAATTTCAAACATCGGTCTAACTACTTATAATATTTTATGATAACTTACGACTACATCATCTCGGTTAATCAACCGACAATTTCATATTGGAGCTCGCCGCATGAAAAAATATATTATGTCTTATAATTTTTGGGCGCTAAATACAACTTAGGCACACTACACACATATATACCATTCCTTACTATCAAATATGGAGAATGTCCTTTTTTCAAAAAGCACGCAAATAGAGTTTCATCTCTTTCTTTCACTTGAAAAGCGAATGAGAGACGTGTAGGCCACGTAGCGCACTAAAGGAAGACTTGAGTTTAAACCTAGCGATTGCACAACATATAAAAGAGATAAACATTATAAAGTATACTGTTCATACTCGTCCAAACGTTAAAGTGCGCTTAGGCCTTATTCCGGGTGAAAAAATAACTCAACTATGTTAAATGTAAAATAAACCTTATTGTCTAAATAATAAGACTTAATTAACCGGAATGTATACGCTATCTCGCTTAAAGGACGACAATTTCCGTTATTCAGAAGATTAAATTTTAATGCGATTGCAATTCAAATCTTAAACAAATAAATCTTATAAATAAGAAAACTCAGAAAGCTTATCTCGGTTCAAAAGGAGTAAAAAATTCTATAAGAAACCCGTATAACTTCTGATGTAACAAAAATTGCCTCCATTCGTAAATTTTGTTTATCAAGCGAGTGAAAATTAATAAGGACAAACCCAGATGACACGCCAGGGCCCAACATTTACTACCACCCACATATTATGTCTAAAAGATATTTACCCTTTGCTGTGTATAAATCTTTGATTGCGAATGTAATATTGTAATATCATA